TCATCATCTACGGTCTCCACTGCTGAATTTCAGTGGCCTCATTCCCTAATTATCAGCAGCTGCCATTGCGTAGTGGCAGAGAACAAAGTGGTTGCTGTGGACATGGTGCTTTTTCAGTCCACGATTACTGTAACTTCCGAGAAAGCTGGTATAGATATAGATGCTCAATGTTTAAGAATACACACCTGCAACTATTACTCAGAAATCGTTACTGGGTTTATTTTGCTTGAATAGTTATAAAACAGAACCAGGAAATAATAGCCCAGACCTCAATATCATTTTCTTTGCTGTAGAGGAAGCTTGAGACAAATCAGCCGCCATCCATAAGACAAACTATCTTAAGAATCAGATCAGTAATTTACAGTTATGCGTAATACAGATTACAATAATTTTTTTAAAACCAAGTAAAACTATTCCTTGTAGCAAATTAAGATGTTTTCTTCAATCTACTTTTTTAGATCTCATTAGGAAAAGGGATTGCCACAACAGCTTTATTTAGTGACCCCAATGTGGGTGCTCTTTTTAAACTATAGGGTTGGCATTAATCGAAAAACAAACAAACAAACCTCATTTTAATTTTAATGTACAGGATAGAAAAAGGACGATCATTTGGGAAATGCATCAATGAATGTTTTTTTCCTGCTGGATACCCAAGCTTGGTTGTCTGTTAAAAGCTTTATTTTTCATTGGACTACAATATCTGTTAAGTTTTCTAATTTTAATCAAAAGAAAGACAGGAACCATTTGCCTCTTGGATGCTCCAAACAGTGTTGCAAATGGGAGATTTATTCCATCTTCTTTTCCACTGTGCGTTCCTGTTTCTTCCTTTTCTCTGTGTGAGACTTATATTGCGAATCAGTACCAAAGAGTTTATCCCACCATGTGAATATTGAGGAGTAATTGCCATTGAGGTTCATATGGTGGAAGTCATGAAATCGAGCCCCAGCGTAAAAAGGCAACAAGTTTAAAGGATTCAGAGGAATATCATAGCCACTAAAAAGGAAAATAATTGATTGCACATTTTAATAACATGAAGCCATTTCTCACATTTATTTATTTATTTATAAATCAAATGTATACCCCCCCCCCCATCTCACTGTATAATTGACTCAAGGCAGCTTACAAATCAAAGCAATAAAAACAGTAAGAACCTCAGGAATAACCCCCAGTTCCCTTTGAAACCCCACCAGATCCATCAGTCGCCAGAGGCAGACTAAGTAACAAAACATTACCTGTGAGCATCAATGCTCTGAATCAAGCGACAAATTATCCCTGCCCACAGCAAAATCACGTGATTGCAGAAGACCATTATTCCAAGGGAAAACCCAGAAAGAAAAATAACACTTTCTAGAGGATGTAAATATGCAGTTTGGATCCCAAATGGTGCCTGAGGAAAAGAATATATATAGAAAAAGTATATATACTGAAGAAACTATTTCGTATCTATGCTTCAATATTTCCATATTGTTCCAGGAGCTTTTTTTCTCTCATACGCTAAACTTCGACTCACACTTAC